TACGATAATTCTCACTAGAGGTACAATGTATTAAATTTATTTAAATATAACTTATTTTCTACTACATTTACTATTTAGACTGAGATTGTAGAAATGTATTTATCAATGGCACAATACCAACATAAATACTGATGAATTATTGCTGTCAAAATCAGGTGTTGTGCATTTTACTGGTATTATAATTATTTATAATCGGTATTAAAGAATTACATTTTTTTTTCTCCAATAAATATGCTTCAGCTTAAAAATGCTTTGTCGATGTATTTTATGATTCAAATAATGGTTTGAGCAAGACAGTTCATCGTCATATTTCATAACACACATAATTGTTTCATACGACTATCGATCTGTTGAAATTTGCCACTCTATCCGTAATAACATTCTATTATATCATCATAATTTTTGACAACTTGGCAAATATACTACCGATCAATTTTCATTAAAGTTTATTTTATTTACATAGTATGATATTATTTAAAGATATATATATATTTTTTTAATTCACATGAATTATATCATCTTTCAATGTTCATCTTATATTTTAAAATCATTCAAGTAATATCTGATACAAATATAATATGGATTAGTGTTATTAGTCTATTTGTGACCAACGCAATTTAGTAAACTCATAGGTATTTAGTATTTAAATAAAGTAATACTATAAATTTGCTCTAGATATATATTATACAGAATAATTCGAACATGGGACATGTTTTCTTTTGTTAGTTTTCAAAAATAAGAAACATAATGCAATTCGCGAAACAAAATATTTTACTTGCACAGTGAATTTCTAATTTTGATTAAAAATTGTAGTAAAATAAATGAAATAAGTTGTACTTGTCGTATAGGTAATAAGCTATAAATGTTGTTTTTTTTATAATCATCTTATAATTATCTATTCACTAGGTATACCTCAAAATATGCATAGGACGCATCCTATTACGACGGAACAGCATGATCAGAATGGAAATCGTTTAATCCACAGTGTTAACGCAGGAAACTGCATAAACCTATTACATATTTTCTAAGATTGAACAATGAATGTGTAATTAAACAATTTTTAATTTATCGAAAAAACCTCGCTTTAGAAGATCCAACCGTCGAACAAATGAGCAGCCAGTGTTACGGACAATTGTTTCAAAAAATTGTGCAACATAAAAATAAAAACGTAGCTTTACTTCAAAAATGCAATGGTTAATGATGTATCCCGAGGTGTATTTGTGTTATATACTAATAAAAAGTATAATATAGTTTAATATAGGTATGTATCAATGTTACAAACTTACAAAATATACAACATGGACCACGGATGGAGATGTTTAATACTAACTACCATTATTTCCACATAATAACACATAAATAAATAAAATGCGTAGAGCCAATGATTAATGTTATTTGTATCTATATATATACCTATGTATATACTGATGATTTACAAATCTTCGTAATCTCCCATTTTTCAGTAATGCTATTATTCAAAATCTCATTTTTGGAACATATAAATATATATACCTGTTTTAAAATGATTGAGATTTTTTGAACCACTTAAAGAGTATTATATGGAGATACAAAATTCTATTTTTCAAATGAGAACTTCAAATTATAATTTTTCTGAAATGTAGACGTATCAAAATTAAAAATTTTAATTTTTGAGTTACTTTAATAATTGCAATCATAATTACTATAGTAGCAATATAAATATCATACAAATTTGCTCACAAATTGTTTTACTAGAATTAAAATGAACAACTTAAGAATAGTGTTAAACACTTAACCCTCATATATTTTTTTATAATCGGTTAAAATTCAAATTCAAATTTTTATGAAATTGAATATTCAAACGTCGCCAAAGTAATGTTTGGAGTGTATATTTATCAGGTTATTATAATTATTATTCACTATACAATGATTCATTAAAGTGTAAATACTTAATTTTAATTTTCTTAAATTATAATGAGCCATTGTGCAGTAAATAATTATAATTAATCACCCAATGTTAACCACACACCAAATTTTGTATGTTATGTTGCTACAACGACATATGGACCATATGGTATAACCACCACTGTTTTAATGTGTACCTACAATTTAATATTAACTATTTACAGAATTAGTATGAATATGTTTAAAATATTTGTCTCATTGTATTCAATTTTTTTATCTTTGTTGTTACGTTTACTTATTAGTAGGTACCTATCTGCTAATATTCGAGGGCGCAATCTATTATAGTACATTATGATTATTTTACAAAAAATGTTTACTAAAATGTACTTTTAAATACATTTCAAATAATAATTCAACTCCTCAACGAATATGTTCATTATAACTTTTTTGTTTGATATTCATGATAGTCCTCAATTTAAACAGAAAAATAATACATTTTTTTTTAAATAATTTATTACAATTAATGTAAAAAATAAAATACAATTGTAATGATAATAATTTCAATGTATAATTACAACTTACAATATAGGTACTCCAAGTGGAACGACTGGAACGCTACCCATCAAAATTCACATGGCACAAAAACCTTAAAACGCTCAGTCGTTTTCCTAAGTTCTTATTGAAGAATTTGAAAATATTTTTTTTTTAGAAAAAAAAGATTATTTTCTAAATCGACTAAAATCCAAAATGGTACATTTCTTTGTGCATCTTAAGATACCAGAAACTTAACAGAAACCATTCAAAATATCAAATTGTTATTGTACTGTTCACTTTTTGATTTTAGAAATAACTAATCATCATGTAAAGTGGTTAAAAGCCGAAATGTTAAATTGTTTTTCAATATACCATTCGTTTTAAGTACTGAATGTATTAAATTACATTTCAAATTTGATTGTTTCAATTTATTAAAATTAGCGAAGAGTCTCTTCATTTATTCGTTTATTCAATAAATGTCTAAATCTGTAAAGAAAATGATTAAAAAAAAAATGCACGTTTTGAGTTTTTTTACCCATATGCGATTTTATTCCTACCGTTCTCATTAATACATAGGTAACTAAAAAAATAAAATAATTAATTTTCCAATTATTTAAATATGTATAAGACAACTAATTTTTATATACTATACAGTATACATCTTATATATATAACAATTTCGTATTATATAAATATATAAATTATGTTCTATATTTTATTCTGTACTATGTAATATAAGTATATTGTATTAGTATTACCATTTAGTTAATTTGATTGTTTTGTAGGTATATTACTGTACGTCTGTATACCTGCTGAATTATGGTTGTTGTGGTTTTTAAATATTTTATTGCGTATAGAAAATACTGTAGTTCATAATATTTATTTGTAGTGAGATTAATAATATCGTCAAAGGATATTTGGTAGGTTCTGTACCGATATATGTATATAATGTGTACATTAAACACTTTTCACATACAACTATGAACATTACACGGATATACGCTGAGTTGTTAAAATATTATCGATACGAAATGCGTCGTCGATTGATTAGGTTAGGTAGACTTTTTCAATTACACTAACATGAGCATATAATGTTGTATTTACAAAAGTATACACGCCATTGTTATATTTTTGTCAATATTTGAAATCAATATGGGCCAAACTGTTATATATTATAGCGAACCAGTTTGTCCAAATTTTGTGGACCGGATTTGGTACGGCGGCAGTGGTGGTGTGACCGGCCGACGGTTATCGCCAATATACCTATAGTATAGGTCCTAACACGAGTATTTTCTTCTGTCGAAATGCATCATCGATTATACAGATTTAGTATCGGACGACGATCACTACCGTGCGGGTTATGGCTGAGTTACAGCAACGATAATAGTGAGTAATAGTACCTACCTACATTATGTGTATTATACGAATAGGTACCAGTGTACTGCTAAACTATATTCCATGGTTTTAGAGGGTCCGAGCCCCTTGAAAAAACGGCGTCACCGTGCACCGCTAACCGTGATACTTATAATAATATTGTCTTCTGTAAGACGTGTATGATATATTTTATAATATTTTCTTGCGAAATAGTTCCAGATCAAAGTAATAGGAATATAATAATATGTATTGTAAGAAATCCACGCTTATACAACAACAATATTCGCACACCAGTTGATTTCACGGTTTCTCGGTCACCGTATACCCGGGTACGTGTTTGGGTAAAGTTTCAGTCGGCGCGTTGATTAAAAATCTGTTGGACTCGAGGTCTACGGTGTGACGGTCACGTTGATGACGGCTGCAATGCCTATCGCGATGGCGAGGTCGGAAGGGAATTAAATACGAGAATTAAACATTGCAGAGAGAGACAGATACAGCAGGTACAAAGACGGAGATATATGCAGAGACAGAGAGACACAGAGAGTGGCGAAGAGAGATAAATTCCCATGCAACTCAGGCGCCACACACGTTACTCATTGCGGATTCTGCACCAATATCGTGAGTTCTACAGAAAAAAAAATCTTATATATTATTATTATTATTATTATTATTATTGTGCGTGCGTGCGTGTGATTTGTGAACGTGTATGTGTGTGAGTGTGTGAGTGTGCGCGTGTGCATGTCCAACAACAAAAGGCCGGTAAAGCACTCGGTCTGCATTCCGCGTGCACAAGTCGAAGAGACAAATTGAATTATCATATACGCACCGCATTTATAGCCTCCAGGGGTCAAGGAATATTTACCCTGACACTAAAGAATAGTGCACTGTTTTTCTTTTCACGTTAATACAGTAATAATAATAATAATAATAATAATAATAATAATAATAATAATAATAATAATAACAATAATAATAATAAAATTAATAATAATAATGATAATAATAGTAATAGTAGTGGAAAGAAAGAGACACAACGATGAAAAAATAATAGGAAAAAGAAATGAGAAGGAATAATAATAGTTGTAGTAATAATAATAATAATAAAGGTATGAGAAAAAAATAAAGCAACATGGCGCATGCGTGATAGGCGGTTTGGGGGGTGGGCATATGGTGGATTGTCTCTAAACAGGAGTAGAGGAGAGCATATGCGACAGTCCAGACTCCAGTTTGGATTTTATAAGGGCTCGGTTCCGTCGCACCACCGCCGGTAGCTGCTGCTTATAAACGCCGTCGTTAACGTCTTGTTATTTTTGCGTCGTCGAACTATTAATTATTATTTATTCACGTCCGCGTAATCGTGCCGTCGATATTTATTTATTTATTTATTTATTTATTTATTCATCAATTCAAATATATCATATTTTTAATAAGTAAAAAAAAACCGTGCATTCCACGAAATCATCTAATCAAACGTAATAATAATATAATTATTAGAGAACCGTTTCTAATCGATAACATTAATGGTGACTGTTTCCTACGGCGTTGAATTCAACAAAACCGAGTAAGTACACCGCAATCAAATTATTTCTGTAAATACCTACATTGTTGATGAGTTATTTTTTTACGAATGTCATACTTGAAAAATAATAATAATATCTCATACGATATTATATTATCATCTATTCTCGTCAAACGCTGATTTTTTTTTTACTCGCACACTTGGTCAACACTCGTTACACAATAACAGCGACCCGAGTGTACGTCACCCCATCGTTGCCCGTGCGATTCAGGCAAAGTTCCAAAATATTCGCCGACGAATTCCGCGAGGGGATGCGACGACGCATTTAGACCAATATACACGTGTGTTTTCTTATCTTGCATAGTCCTCCAGTTTCACCATCGCATCACCCGTGCCCTATTCGACGCATTGTTTTTGGTATTTTTTTTTTTCGTTTTATTTTTTTTTTTTTATTCAATACCGTAGGTACACTTAAAATAGACATTCTGCCGTGACATGAGTAGTTGTAATTGGCTCCGCGACACAAAAATTCACAAATGTCCATATTATAATAATCGAATACTATAATAATATGATCTAAAGTTAGACGACGACGATGTTCACGGGGACCCGCATTTAATTTGTGTTGTGGTCCACTGATAAGGGGTTTCAAATACGCCCTATGCTTTGTGCATTGTAGTGACGAAAGCGTGATTTCTCGAGTTTCGCCGTAATGAAAACGTTCATTTCAGTACATGTGTACATTATATTATGGTTGCAACGGCGGTAATTGTCCAACTCCCGTAAATATACCTACATTATTCTTTATAATATTTAGTTTTGGCGCGATAGATCAAAAATGTTATATTGTGTGTATTGTATTATTCAGCCAACATAATATAACATTACAAAATAATATACAGTATACAGTTTACACATATGAATATAATATATATAATATATCCTTCTAAAAAGGTGAATCAAAACAACCCTCTTTCGACCATTGTTGTGGACTCTGTAGTAAAATCTTTTTTTACGATCCGTCTGCAGCTTAAACCTCCATCTTTTAATTCTTTTGGATATTACATTCGATCACGTTGTACTAATAATACTTATATGTTGTTTACTAGCCTGTCTTATACTATGGTTCTACCTATCAGACATATATCTATTGACATATTGTATTAAACGAAAAACGTTTTTATAATAACGTTGTAGGTACGTCGTACAATTTATTACAATCAACAAAGTACTAACTCTTAGTTCGAGTGACACAAACAAATTGGTTGAATAATATTATTATTATGTTACATATTATAAACGATATTAAAATAATAATTTGTAGCCAATAGCATAATATTATGATGAGTACCTGTATAGATTAAAAAAAAAACCGGAGACTTGCACCTATGGGCGTTATTAATATTGCTCTTTTTAATGTTAGTGAAAAATTGACTTGCCAATGTACATAAATCTAACATTAAAAGTTGAGAAATTAACGTGATTCATTTAACGTTCAAAACAAGAATTTTGTGTTTTTTTTGTCACTTAGTACCCATTAATTTATTTCACAATAGAATAAAAAAGATTCCTATCCTTGAGACATAAAAAAATTCATATATCTACATAATATACACAAACGTTATAATCAAAATGATGCGAATTCTGCAATATTCAACCCATGAGAAGGGTTTCATGCTGCGATTTTATCGTGTATTTACTGATTTTGTCAGAACTGCAAAATATTACATCACGAAAAAATCTAGTTAAAAAAAACGGGAACTAAATCTCCTGGTGTAGACTTACACGTGTGTGTGCTCGTCCACAAGCGCGTGTGTGTGTATTTGTTTGTGTGTGTATTTACTTGTGTGTGTGCGAGTGTATATGCCATTATTGACTAGTACACTTTTTTTGAAACAGTGGCTTCCCTTTCTAACTTCCAGGTTCTGTTTTTTCCAATACTGTTTTTTCTTTATTATTATTTTTTTTATGTTTTTTATGTAAATAAACTTGTTCGTGTCGTCTTTGTCTGTTTTTTCTTTCATTTTACGTGTTCTCTTCGTGTAAAATTAGCGACCAGTTGAAATTCGAACCCGTAATATCTAGATCTCCCGTCCACCTCTCATTTTGCTCCTCTCCTATGGAAAAGTACACTATACCCCACGAGAGGTGCATTGTTCTTCTTTCGTAAAAAGAAACCTCCTCTGCACTCCCACTATACATAATCCGCTAAGAGGGATGACTAAGTATTGAACAAGAGGTAAAAAAAATACATATATCTATGTTAATATGAAAAGCTGTCCGTCGTTTTTGTTACATTTTAATATACACGTGTATTTTGATTCTTTTTTTTTTAATGCTTGCTGTTTTGTGATATTTAGGCGATGCTAGTGCGGTTATGGTTGGTGGTATTAATGGCCGAGTTGTTAACGGTGGTCGCCTTCAAACCGCTGGAGGCTAATTTAACACGCGATGGACCCTCATCGAAACCAATGAATGTTGTACCTCACGATTTTGATCACATTGTGCCAGTAACTAAATCTCGAACAAAGTAAGTGTTTTCGTTTATTTATTATTTTTTTCAACAAATTTGTTCGCATGTACTATTTAGTAAACATAAAATAACATAAAATGCCCACATTTATAAATTATAACCATATAATATAATAACAGGTAAATCGTATTTTAATATATTCATATTTAACTCACTTAAATTTAATCGTAAAACAGTAATAGATATAATACATGTAATAATTTATTACATATTTTAATTTGATTAAATTATCACCATAGAATAATAATTAGTATAAAATATGTTCACAAATAATCCTGATTTCACAAGTGAATACTATTATTATTTTAAATGATAATTATTAAATTTGATGATTATAGAATGTTTAATATCTAGTTTATAACTATACATTTGTAGGGCATAAAGTGATTCAATCATTTCTACAGTTTTACTTTTTTTTTATTTATATCATTAATATTGATTTAGACTGATCGAAGCATTTATCTTTATTTATATGAATGAAATACATTATTTGTAATAAATCCTATATAATTTAGAATTATACGCATTACTTAATAAAAGGGAGAGTACATGTCTTAGACTTTAAGAGACTTTAAGATACTTAATTAATAATTAAGCTCAATGATCAAAATCATCAAGATTAAAATATCAAAGAACCAAAGATGAAAAAAAAATAAATTTGTATAGCAGGGTCTTCCACCCGAACCAAGTTTGTATAAACTGATGGTGCATTTATTTTCTCGTCTGCATTTGAAAAATAATTATAATTATAGTACAATTATAGAGCAGAATATTAGAGCATAATTATTGATTTATATGTATATAATTCGCGTTATGACTATGATTATTCGAGTTATTTATAGCTTGTGTAAAATCCTTATATATGTAATGTAAAATCTATTTTTATTTTCTCATCGCACAATATAAGTAATAGTTTTTATATCTACTCATATTCCACATTCCTCTTCAATTGAGTCCAATATCCTATAGACGCATATCGACGTACGATTGTGTTTTACCCTTTTTTATTTCTTCTTGTGAGGTAAGTCCTTCAAAATAATCTTATATTTGTAACTTAAGATCAAATGTATACTTATACTCAAGCTATCAATTTAACTTTTATTGTTTTCCAATATTTCCATATAGGTAACTGAAATAACCAAATAATAATTCACAAATCTGAGGTGTGTATGAAAGTAATTTATTGACATAATAAATATTCAGAATAAAATTAGATAAATATACAAGTATATAATTTTTAAATATTCTATAATATGTGTGTGTTATACACGAGAAAATTTGTTTTTATAATTATATAGCATTAGAAAATATTTTTTTTCCATCTATAATTGTCTTCTTTATGTTTGTGTTTTTGATTTTTTATGCCAAGTTCTAAATAAATCCACTTGTTTTTTTCTCTGAAATGCGTGTATTAAATGTTAAAATAATTTTAATAACTACTACAGTAGACACACGTAAAGCTATTTAATAATAAGTATTAATCAATTATCGACAAGAAAAAAAATGTAAAAACGTTACAGCAGGATCACGAAAAGACCTCTATAAATATAGTAGAATATATAAATAATAAATATATATGTATACTAAAAATATATAATAGGCTGAACTACAATATAACGTAATATGCATAAATAGTTCTGAGAATTGTTTTCATCTATAAATTATTGTTGAAGTTGAGGGTGAGGCTATTCAAAAACGGGAATATAATAACACGTGTGGTTAAACCAACGAGATCGTTTTATCGTTTTATTTAACTAGTTAAAATTGTGTAACATCTACGTATAATACCTAACTGGACTATCCAATATTGATTAACAACTAGTGTGCAGTTAATAGTTAAGTACACGCTATTTGTTAAATCAAGAATATTATGTAACATAGTTTTATATAAATCATTTGACCAAAATGTATTATCATGTAATAATTTTGAGTGCTTGTACTGTATAATTTCGTACAGAATTTTAAGCGTATTGCCGATTAGAAAATGTTTAAAAAAATAGGTACATAATACATTTCACACACAAGTATATAAGTAAAGTTATAAATATTATTATAATATACACATACATATTATGTTCAAAAAAGTAAGCAAATTGACAATCTTCATAACTATATAAGTAGGTAATCAAACAACTATAAATAATAATTTTTTTATTTATTTATTCTACTTTATTTAGTTTTTCAAAACATGGCAATATGAAACTCAATCTAATTGATATAATTAATAATTGTTAAAAAAAAAACCGAATGGGAATGTATGGAACCTATTAACTTCAATAATATGTAGGTATCTGATAGAAATATTTATTTTAATTTTAGGTAAGACTCTACAGAAAATTGCTTTTTGCTAGTGATGTGTTATATTTTAGAGAACGGTTATCAGTTGTTCCTTACAATTTCAAAAAGCACATGTACCTATAATCAAGAATAAGATAATAATTTGATTTAAATACGAATCTGAAGTTAGCATTAATTAATATTTTATTGTTGAAGTGTATATTAAATAAATACGTAATGCAATTATCACGATGTAAATATTTTTTTATTGTTAAACAATGCGCATTTGTCTTATAATTATATATATCTTCAAAGTTTAATACTGTATAAATCACAATGAAAGTATTTTGAAGTATAAAATGCATAAAAAAAACTATAACCTTGAAAATCATGGTCTACAACTATATAGGTAGCTGGCCGCCATAAATAATTTAATTTCTTGTCAAGTGCATTTTTTTTTTACTATTTAAAAAAAAATGCCCCTTAGACATACTATAATTTTATTATTACAATAAATAATGTAGTATTTGCGACCAAAATTGTTCACATGGTACAGTTATAATAATAGTATAGACGATAATATAGCCAATTCAATCAGTTTATGCTTATGCTGTTCACTGCAGGGATTTTTTACATTCGATGATACGGCCAGATGTTGATTTCTAAACAAAAATTATACAAAAATTAAAATATTTAAAATCATTTTGAACGTATTAACGCCAACTTTAAACCTATCAAAATAAAATAAACTTGATCTGTACATAATAATTGGATTTTCGTTTAAACATCAGACAAAGCACATAGATACTTTACACAAGCAGTATTATTGTATTTTATCCGTAGAAAGCAAATGTCTCAATATTTCTAAAACTATTGGAAATATAGTGAAATTAAGCATGAAACATATCCAACATACTATTATCCTATTTTGAGGTACATAATTAAACAACAATCTGTGTTGACGTGTATTTTGTTCTTCTGAAAATAAATCAATAATTTATAGGTTCTATACTTCAATTAGGTATGTACATGGTCAAAAAGTTAAGACGCTATAAAATATGTTAAACTTTGAAATGTAGATGTATACAATGTACTATAATTCTTACTTATAATTATTTAGGAAAAAAAAATATTTAATCACCGTTATTAAAGACTACTTTAAACGTTTATCAATAAAATATATCGAAAACTATTTGAAGAGTTTAGCTCAAAATACAATTACCGATGGATCCCGGACGTCAATGTCCTCAACAATAGTTTCTTTTAATAAATCTTAATAGTATAATTTATTTTGAAGAGTTTCTGATATTTTTTTCAATACGAAACACGAACACGTTAGAGTCAAAAGTCTGTACCTACGTAGGTATAATAGAAACAAATATTATACCTAATAATACTGCATGCTCACAACGGTAATTCATCTTTATTATTATTATTACTATTATTATTATTATTTTATTTAGAATTATTACCGAATAATATTATAATATCTGTTGGCTACATAGCGGTAGCGGTAGTGGTGGGCTCGGTGCACCGAATTATACGTAGGTATACTACCGGTACCGCAACCGGTTATGCCCAATGCGCATTGATCAGAAATTTCGCACAGGTGGTGCATTGATAACACGAACCGGATACCACATGCGTAATAATAATAAAATGACGTCGTTTGAATATTTTTTTTTTAAAGAAAGAAAGAAAGAAAGAAAGAAAAAATAACAAAATAATAGAACTGCTATGGTGTATAACAATTCGGAGCCGCTATGGTGCTCACAAGTCGCATTGACAAACGGCGTGACTATATATAAATATAATATAGGTACCTGCAGCACTCTGCAGCGGTTTGTGACCTTTAACATCAACGTTTTCGATAACAACAATGCAATTATTATTATTGTATACTTCCTCGTTATTTTATACGCGCGAATGTGGAGGAGGTAGTAGGTATAGCCAAAATTAGCCTTGGCCCAGATTAAAAAAAAAACCACAGTCTAGACACTCAGAATTCCGTATCCGAGTGGAATCTAAATGCTTATAATGCGTTTGCGCATAATAATGTATACTTACGTTGCATATAATATGTGTATTATTGTACGCGCACTCGACGAGTGAACATTATAATTAGAAAGATATTTTTCACGACAATTTTTCGCATCCTCTCCACTGCACTCTCACGCTTTCACCTTCTCCAGCTCATTTTTCTCTTTTACGGTTTTTTTTTTTTTTACTCAGGTACACATCACGCACTTATTGCACACTGCGATTATAATACAAAATGTATCCCTCGTCCCTTTATTTTGCTATCTGCCCGCGGTATTAGCCCTGCAAACGATAAACTCAGTCTGTGTTCGTATGGAATGTCTTGTCAATTGTTCGACACGACCACACCTGCACGTACAATAAGTATATTATATTAGAGTAAATTTACGGATACAATAATTGTATAGTTTTCGTACGTTTTCTAAATACGGATATTAATATTACGGTATTTTTATTTTTACGTGAATCATTTTTTACTTAGAAATTATTTGTGTTCATCTCGTTAATCACAAATCTGTATATCATAGTAACCAATGTACGTACGTGATGATTGGTTAATAAACAAATCTTTGATCTGTTCAAATCCAAATATAAATTTTATTTATGTACATTCACCATTTTAGACAAACTTTCAGCATTTCTCAGAACTTTCAAAAATTAAATAGGTTCGGGAATCTTGCATTATCATGGAAACACACTGTACATGTCAAGTTTATAAATAAACTATAAAGGATATATTATGTTTCTAAGATAATTTCCATAATATTTTTAAATTAAAATAACAATTACATAAAAAAATTTAAATCAGTCACGAACGGTATTCATACATATTGGGTGGCTGGCTCAATTTAAAATTACATTTTTATTTTTGTCAAGATATATTGAGTACAATAAGACACACGTGTTATGGTCCAAGTAGCCTATTTAAATGCAATCATACCGTATGCCAGTTGCTGCTTACTGATTAGTCCTACTTCAGAACAATAAGCGTTTATTTTCAAATGATCTCTTACCGGAATTCCAGGTCGCCGCCAACGATCGTCAATTACGATCGTATTATAATAGCCGACAACCCTTTGATGTTACGGGTGGTCTTTCGCTATAATACAGTAAAGTTGTTAAATAGCATTTGAAATAAAGGTGTGTGTGTGTGTGTGTGTGTGTTTTTTTTTAATAGGTTTCACATTTTGATACCCCAAGACTCCGACCGGAATCTGTCCGTGACCGTCACGCCGTCGTGCAACTCCATGCTCAACTGGGACTTGAAATTTATACCTCTAACCAGATTTAACCAAACAGTCGTCATATTATGTAAGTTTCAATCGAGTGGAACTATTCTGTCTTTAAGTATTAATCAAATGAATTCATATATTGTGTTATAACTATGATTATATTATATATTACCTACAAGTATTATTTTTGTACACTTTAGGGAACAATAATAAATCCAGTGATATAGGAAGGTTACTCATAGAATATACGGGTGTATCCATACCCGTCACTTATGAACACGGCAGGGCGAATAGAGGTCTCTACGTAATATCAGCCCAGACAGCAACAGGTGACGATTCAAAGGCTATGTTTCATGTTGGGCTCAAACAAAAATCACAGAATAAGCAATTCGGTTTCCGTCCAAATGGAATAAAAATCAAAAAAGGTGGTCAAAAAATTTATTTAAGATGGAATCTAAGGTAGTTTTAAGTAATGAATTTACGTAATATACTGCATATTATATAACTGTCTAAAATTAATTAATTTTATCTTGAACATTAGCCATATAGATCATCATTTAATGAAGTACAGTCTTGTGATCAGTTCATCAAAAATATACTCGACGATTTGTGAAGCTGAACATCGTTTGGGAGAAAAACTAAAAACGAATTTGACGTATTATGAGGATGATTTACGACCTGACGACAGATTAGAGGTGGGTACATTAACACGTCTTGAATTCATGATAATCTTATAAAATAAAACGCTTACCCATGCTATTATTTAAAATAATAAACTCTCTAATAGAAACATATTACAGTGTTGTAAATTAAATATTGGTAGCTACTGGGTACTTACATAATAATTGATATTTGTCAAACATTATAATATATTTTATTATGTTACCTAGTTTATAATATTATTCAATTTTACACAATACTAAATTACTTATAAATTATAATACTAAACAAAAAAAAAAAATTAGATTAACTAGATATTTTTTTTTTTTGCTGAATAACTTTTTTATTTAATAATAACTATAGTAATAACTTCGATTTTTACAGTTAATTTGATAAATAATACATACGTTAAATTAAAATCATGTTTAAACATAATAAAATAATATTATGTATAACTCGAGTAATTTAAAATTTTGTACTATGTGGTCCATGAATAGACTATGTAGTAGTATGTACCTAAAAGTTATCTATATTCTATGTACTATCAGTATTAGATACCAGTTTTATTGTATTCATTATTATGTACCTTATTTTGAACAACTGCAGTTAATATTGATTTACATTATAATGTAGTCAGGCCTTGGCCATTTTTTAAATTAATTTAAAACAATTAACGGTGACTTACTTAATTTATTCAAATTAATTTTTTTCATTCACTTGCTATTCCACCTACTCTCCATAAATCTGAAATAATAATACACCAATCTTTTAACATAATATCTATATTTAAATCAGGAATACTTTGTTGTAATTTAGATACATCATCTGGAACATTCTACAAGCTATACAATGACTGATTTAATTTATGATGAAACGTACTATTTCACTGTATTTGTGTTCCATGATTCTCATATAGCCACACACCACGCCAACGCCACATATAAATTTCAGAAGTCCAAACCCATTGGACTAAAAGATGCAAGGCCCAGAATGATCAACCTGAGGGCTCAAAATGGAAAAGCATCCTTCAGGTACAAGGTTGGTGGGCTGTTTACTAGTTGTGGGAAACATATTTTGTTTAATTTGTGCAAAGTATTACGGTTATTATTTTAGGTGGGAAATAATAGGCAGTTGGAAAAAGATGTCCCTCCCAACACATTATATTGGTACGTCATGCCATGCGATGGAGTGGTATACGTGGAAATCCGTTGTCGAAAAAAGTTATTAATAAGCAAAAGAGTTTTTGGTTACGAGAAATTCATTATAAACAACACTATGAGTGGAGAAAGATACGTGTTAAAAGTAGAATCCGTATCTGTTGACGAGACTCAACGCATCAGATCAATTGAGGTTGGTGTGTAAGATGAGATTATTTTAAAAAATAATACAAATTCAATAATATCTAAGTTATAATAATTAATATTATTTATTGATACATTTTGTAAAAATTATGACATTTTTTTAAATAGGTAATGGCCACCGTACGACCAACAATGATTCCAATGCCAGACATGCCAAACGATCTAAGGATCCAACAATATGTCGGACCAGATGATTGTAAATCAGTGAAGATCGGTTGGTTGTCAGCGAACTCATTGACCGATTTAAAATATTGCGTGTACGTACAGGAGAATAATAACAGCTTGGATAGTGTAGATTTTTCAGTTAAGCCAGATCAATGCAAAGTTCGGTACGGCAAAAGCAGGAGAAGCGATGTTTCTAATAATTATCGAACCAAAACTCGATGTTACATCGGCGAAAAAGGGTACGTCGATTGCATTATACTGTTGTTTTTACTTTTATATTAATTACGATTTTTTCGATCGCAGGATAGTTTTAGTGGAAAAGATACTTAAACTTAAACCGTCGACAACCTACACCATTCAAGTGACAGTTACTAAACCAAGAGGAAGAACGTTATCGTACGATTTCCTAAAATTGGACACAAACTCATGTGGGCTTAACTAAAAGACTATTTGTATCACTTTTGCTGGAAATCAACAAAAGCCATCCATCCATCATCATTGACAAAAATGTCACCGATCGGTCGCATTCGTTTCGTCATCTTCTTCATCCTGTAAATTATAATCCTTCATAGTATTATTACGTTTAAATACTTTATATCGTAACTATTTTGTAGATTTTATTATTGTTACTATTAATTTTTATTATCTATATTTATTGAAAATAAAATCGACTTCCAAGGAGTATAGTGGTACTGTGACGTTAAAAAATAATAATAATGTAAAACTCAAAGGAATGTGGAACGCCCCATTAAGAAAACATCTGGCGTATTCGAAACGTCGACAGCTAGTTGGTACACACAGAAAAGTGATTAAACAGGTACAATTCGTTTAAAAAATACCGAAATAAAAATAAATTGAGTAGTTTAAGGGAGGTAATATATATATAAATATATTTGTATACATATATAATATATATAGTATATACATATTAAAACATAATATACCAATAAAGCGTTGATGAGTTGGAAAAAGAAAACATTAACAATAGGTACCTTAAAGCATATTATTAGGTACCATGCTGATAGGGTAATCATGTCAGAAAATATATGCTTAAGGAATTCGAGTCCATTAAATTTGGGGTACTGTTGCTACGTAGGGAACACTACACACATTATATTAAGGGTTAGTGAACCCGAAGCGAGTGGTGAAGAATAACCTTCGGTTAATTTAATGAGTTCCAGACTTTTTTCCCAGTTTTACAAGGGTTGGTTATAATAACATCGACGGACTCACCTTTCAATGGAACAGTTTATAATATAGAATAAATCCCACATGCATTGTACCTTGTATTCTTTTGTTAACAATATATTAAACTGTACGCATCTCAAATTATTTATAATTTGGTCATTATTATATAGTATATTTTAATGTTTGGCAGTTACATTTTCTTTCCTGTTAAAATAATATCATATACAATATTATCTAATAAATAATTTCGACTAAATTATGGTTGTTATAAGCACATTTTTTTTAATATAAAACTATACAATTTTATTGAAATAAAAATAATTTAATACATTATTATTGAAAATTATTGTTATATAAAACCAAATATTAAAATAATCATTATTATAATTGAATGTACTTAATAACATTTATTTCATGGAAAAGTATTATATTCACGAGAAGTCAAGTAGAGCTCTTATGTTTAATTGTCCATACTTTCTTTAAAATAAAGTTGAAAAGTCAAAATATGTTATTAATAAATATTTATATGTCGTTAGACTTATAAAATATTTTTCAATAATAGTATGCGAAAAAAATATGTTGAGATTTCATACTCTAAATATTATAATACGTTGAAGATAAAATATACTTTAAATGCTACTAACAAACATGTTCAACTATTTGAACAAAAATAGTTCTACATACATTTAAATAGTATAATTTAGTAATCTTAGAGTTTAGACTATATAATAAATTATAATATTTAGCATAAGAAAATACTATTGCTGATTTAATATTTGTATTTCACTACCTACATATGATTGACGCCTGAAAAATTTCATTATGCAATTTATTATGCTTCAAAGTAAATTTGACGTCTTTAAAATTCAATCTTCAACAATTATTTAACCCTTAGTATGATTTATTTATATATATACATATATTACATACCTACTTAATTATTTACATAAATTATTCTTTACAATTAAAATGTTTAAGAAGATAATTTTTAAAACTTTAAATCTGCCATTATTTTCACTGAACAAATAGATGTATTATGGTGATTTTAAAAGTGTTCAGGTAAGTAGTGTAAGTTCAATTGTTGAGTTATAACACCGAAATAATTATCTTCACAACCGTTATTACAGCTTCAAGGAAAACCTAATAAAAACAAAACTAGGGTAATTAAACTAGGGTCAATTATCAGTTGTACCTACTTAATTCAATTATACATTATTTTATATGCAATATGCAATATACAATATAATATTATTGATTTATCATCTACCAATTTCTTAAGCCATAGTCATAGGTACATGAAACCCCTTCAAATTGTAAAAGTATTCAGAAAAATAATTTAAACAAAATTATAAAATTACAAATAATATTTAGTTTATTTGATTATTTTGTGATTAGTGTTTATTTTTTATAAAAAGTCAAATTAATCCCTATGGCTTTGTAATAATTAATTTCACATTTAAGGATGCGTTAAATTAGAATATATTATGCAAATTGTTTTCTATGTAACATTATAAAAAAATTACATTACCTGACTAAATATGATACCATCTGATAGCAAAACATACATTTGATACCTTAATATTTGTTTATGGTTGTAAGATTTTCGTTTTTAAGTTATTTGTAGCCACGTCTTGTAAATCTTTTTAGGAGTAATTATTTTAGTATGTTTAACACTGTTAACATTGTACTAATCGAGATAGGCAAAGAGTTGGTGGTTGTCCACCCCCTCCTTGAATTTTATAATGATAGGGCAAAGACATTGTTATGTACGCCCGGATTCAGCTTGAATTTTTTATTGTATATATAGGTTTATTACAACACATTAATTTTTTTCAAGTCCGTTATGCTAGAAAAATAATTTTCAGTGTGCGTTTTATATCAATACGATGATCATTTATTACTTTATTAGTCTTAAAATAAATTCTATATTGTACATATCCATGTAAGTGTACGTACCAATATAATTATATTTAGGTATAGTAGGTACCTACTATACCCAAGGTATGAAACTTTTTGACGGAAACTCATTAAGGGAATAATGAAAATAATGATAACAATAATTAGTTATTTGCACCGTACTGTGTGGATTTTATATTTTTGGTCAACACTCAACTCGTCGTGAATGCCTAGGTTAATAAAAACTAGCAAAAAACAATTTTTTTCTGAATGAAAGGTGAATGAACTGTTGTTGTCTGTGTATTTTTATTAATTTAATTAATAATATAGATATTTATAAAATAAATAATTCGAAGTCAGCTAATATTACATACCTATCCCATTATTTGTCATAAATTCTTGTTAGTTATGCTTATGTTATATATGTTATTTTATTGAGTGGGTAGAACACATTTATTTTCTCTTTTATATTAATTTTTTAACAAACAAACGAATAAGGAAAAATGGGTACCCAGATAGATCAACGCATAAATTATATAAATGATTCCGAAATAAAAATATATTCTCAATACTTACCTAATAAAAAATAAAAAGTAAGCTTTAAATCTAATTCGATATATTGAATAGTGAAACAGTAAAATACTGCTTTGTTGAGTAATCTTAGACAATAAATTTCGGTCTCATGATAATATTGAGAAATCTATATAATAAAATCTTAATTGAATGTACGTCAACGAATAAAATGAATAGATTCAATAGACAATTAGAGAACCATTACGCTCAGTAGATGGCTTTTCCGAGTTGAAAAAATATGGTTTACTAAGGCAAGCGAAATCACGATTTACTGACGGACCCCATTACAGTGGGTACAATAATATAAGTAATAGTTAGTGAAGCCCCACAGAATATTTATATACGTATCTATTGCGTAGTTACATTTATCGGCTTTATTTTATTTAGAACATTTAGCTGAATTTAAATACTGGTTTTTTTGAATTAATAACCAATAAAAATGTGCCCATACACCTAGTTTTTCATATTGAATTCTAGCGAATAAACGGCACGAAATACATTAACGAATTGGAAAAGAAATTATGCGCAGAATCCGTGAACGCATAAAATTCAAGTCTGTCCGATAAATATTAAATACTTTATGACCATCGAGATGTATTGATAATAATAATCGGTTGAAAATAATATTATACCTTATCTTTTTACTGCGTATTCCATCTGCACACAAGTGCAAAACTCATGGTACGCAATACGTAGGTAAACCTTGTACCATATTATAGGCATGTAATAATATAATAAAGTGTTAAAAAAACACCATCATGAGTAGGTTTATTTATACATCTCTCGCGGAATATAATATAATATTATATTACAGCGTCAACATGATAAAATAAAAAACATTTGAAAGTCGATGACGTCTCGCGAATATGTATAAGGTGAGGCTACGTACTTTTTTTAAATGTAATATAAAATGATATTGATTATTGTTATAATTATTATTGGCATCCCGCAGAAAGCAAAATTTGCAAACATGCGAAGTGCAAACCCGAGTATCACTATACCCACCGGATGTAACGGAATCAGCAGTTTTTGTCATGACATTGACATTGGTTTACACTATACAGATGGTAGACGGGTGTTCCTATTTCTTTCTTTCTTTCTTCATTTTTTTTTTTTTTTTGTTGTTAGTAATATTTCTGCGAACCTGCAAACAGTAAATCGCGAATGTCAGGATATTATAATTTGGGAGGCGATAGTATATATTGCGTAGGTATATAATTATTTATTAGATTATTTTCGTCGATTTCTAAAAACACGTCTAGACACCAGAGGTGTATATTATTATTGTGTATTATGACTAGGTCTGACGACAACGATAAACGGACAATTGACGCAGACAACATAATTATTAATAATAATTGTGGAATATTGTTGTTTAGTGAATAATAATATTATGCATTTATAATATATAAATCGTAATCGCTGATTTATCAACGTAAAACAGTAATCAATAATCGACAATCAATGCTTTTCGTCAAATAAAAGAGTATAATAAGTAACTTAAAAACCCTATAACACATATTTTTCGTCCCATTGAGTTGTAGTTAAACTCTATTATATTATTTTTTTAACAATATATCATTGTTTATAATATTTTACCATAGAGTTCTCATTAATACTACAGTACCAATTTGGTTGTGCATTTAAACATTTTTTTTAGCTTAGTTTTACATATTAAATTAAAAACAGTCTTAAGTAAATTTGATTTTTAGTATTAAATGTATTTTTGTGAGTAATCAATTTATTATTATTAAATGTTATTAAATAATTATTAATTGAGTAAACAATTTTAGTTTTATAAGATAATAATTTTTATTTTACCATAATATACTATTGTACTGATTTGTATCCATACTCAATCTAACATTCCCATTTAAATAATTTAGAAAGCTTAAAAATCAAAAACTTTGTAGTTAATACCTACAATTATTGATTTGGTTTGACTATTCGAATGAGAACCTGCAAGTGTTCATTGCAAATTGTCTACCATATTTTTGAAAATATTTACGTATTGTAATCGATATTTTAACTAAAATTTTCCAAGTAATTCTACTTTGGATGCTCAGAACAATTACAACAAGTATAAATAATATCCTTTGACAAGACTACATTACTTTCCTTAATATTAGTAGAATAACACGGACGCTTTTCATTCAAATTTTAATCACAATACGTCAACATTTTTAGAAAAATCCTCTGATTTACAATTTTCATTAAAATATGTATATTGGTTATAATTTGAAAAACCAGGGTAGGCCGAGGACACTCTTTTTTAAGTATTGTGAAAATTGATTTGAAAATATCGCCTTTATCGCCCACACTTAAAAATTCCGAAAATCAGAATTTTAATGTATTATGCATCATGCATAATTTAAACATAAAATATCGGGTGTGTTAATAAAATCACCACTTATACAATCATTTTCTTTTGAACTCTTCGGAGTAATATTTGTCACAGGGTTGTGTAGTATAATTTAATGTCTTATATGATTCATAGACGTGCATCATAATGTACTATATTATACCGTCTATACCTAATTGTCATGTAGGTGATCCCGGCCCTAAGTGCCTATCATGTTCCGATAATATACTATATAGTAGGCACTATATATATGTTATACCTATGCGGTTTGTAGAAATACACGTGCAAAAGTCATCTGGATGAAGTTACTGTATACACACACCATATTATAGTACTACAACTATACTCCACTCTACCCGCCTACAATTTGAATATACCACACATGTGTGCCATATTTTTACATTATGGCGAATAGACAGCTGACACGCCGTCACACTTAAAATATATTATACGCGTTACAGTATCTCAC